CCTCTACTTTCACAGGGAGACTGGTTTGTCGGCCTCCAAGATGCTTTCTCATCTCTATCCATCCACTTCATCACAAATTTCTATGATTCTGATTCAACAACATTTCATACTAATTTTGCTCTCTTCCGTTCGGACTTTCCACGGCACTGAGGACCTTTACCAAATGTATGGCACCAGTCGCTGCCTACCTCCAACTATAAAGTATTACAATATTCGCCTACCTAGATGACTGGTTAATAGTCGCTACTTCGTATCACAGTGCAGTCAGAGCTACCCAACAAATTCTCGATACTCTTCAAGATCTAGGACTCAAGGTAAACCTTGCCAAATCCCATCTCGAGCCTTCACAGATCGCCATCTACATAGGGGCATATTTCGACTCACTTCGAGCCAGAGCCTTTCTCCCTCACTAAACTAAAACGAGCCATCCGACCGTTCAGTATTGACGCATCAAGCCCAGCATCTTCTCAGGTTTATGGCTTCTACAACAGCTGTTATCCAGCATGCAAGGCTCAAAATGAGGTCCCTACAATCATGGTACCTATCACTATTCAATCTCATAACAGACCACTCTTCCAAACATCTCATAGTAACATCAGAACTCGCCAGCCACCTGCTGGACATTTCTTCCTCATTTGATGTTAGGCAGACCCTTCCGACCTCTACAGTTCTTGATAAAGGTTACCATCGGCGCCAGTCCATCAGGATGGGGAGCTCATTGTTGACATCACAAAATACATGGCCTATGGACAAAACAAGAACAATTATTACACATCAACCATTTCAAACTCTTAGCAATTATCAGGGCTTTCCATGCCTTCTTACCTCTCATTGCAGGACAAGCAGTACAGCTAGCTACAGATAATACTGCAGCACTGTACTATATAAACAAGCAGGGAGGTACCCACTCCCTTTCGCTCCTGTATCTGGTGGTCGAACTTTGGGAATGATGCTACCTACACCATATTTTCCCAGTAGCCATCCATGTCGCCACAAACGACAACCATCCAGACCATCTCAGTCATCTTACCAGAAGGACACACGAGTGGGCATTGAACAACGAACAGCAATTCGGTGTTCTATCCATCAATCTCTTTGCCTCCGAGACCAAGTGCCAATTGTATTGCTGCCAAGCTGGTGTCAACACAAACTCACTCAGAGACGCCTTTTATAATAGACTGGGTCAGAGGCCTCCTCTACCTATTTCCTCCGACTCCACTCATGCAACAAACTGTCATTCAACTTCAACAGTTCCACTCAAATGCCATCCTCCTCACCCCATGGTGGCCACGTCAACCATGGTTCACCCTGAGATCAAGATCGACCGATGTGTTCCATCTCCTGTCAATCCCCAACCTTCTGACCCAAGACAACGGGATGATTTACCACCCCGACATAGACTCTCTGAACCTGACAGCATGGAGGATATTCCCGCCATACAAAATGTACTAGATCAAGCTTGAGAGCCGTCGACCCAGTGGTTATACCAAAACAAATGGAAATCATTCCTCTCCTTTGCTCATTCTCACAACTTGCCCTAGTGCAAGCTAACTAGGTGTGAGCTAGATAGATCAAGGGTCAGGTGGATACACAATTGGCTATAGAATCGTACTCAAGGGTGGTGATTAATGTCTCCTTCTCAAACTGGCAGGAGGTAACAAGTGGGGTACCCCAGGGCTCAGTCCTTGGCTCAGTGCTATTCAATATTTTTATTAATGACATGGATCAGGGGATACAGGGAATGTTAATCTATTTGCAGATGACACAAAACTGGGTGGAATAGTCAACATCCTGGAAGACAGAAACAAAATTCAAAATGATCTAGACAGCTTTGAGCACTGGGCTGAAAACAACATAATGAAATTAAGGAGGGATAAGTGCAAAGTACAGCACCTAGGAAAAAGAAACCAAACACATAGTAACAAGATGGGATATATTTGGCCCTACTATGAGCAAGAAAGATCTTGAAATCATCATAGACCACAAGGTGGATATGAGCCAACAATGTGATGTGGCTTCAAAAAAGGCAAAGGCTATTTTAGGCTGCATTAACAGAAGTATAATCTTCAAATCCTGTGAAGTACTAGTTCCCCTCTATTTAGCACTGGTTAGGTCTCATCTTGAATATTGTGTCCTGTTCTGGACATCACACTTCAAGAAGGATGTCAACAAATTCGAACAAGTTCAGAAGAGGGCAATAAGGATGATCAGGGTCTGGAAACCACGTCTTTTAGGAAAGACTGAAAGAATCAGTCACGTTTAGCCTTGAGAAAAGAAGACTGAGGAGAGGTATCATTTTCAAATATTTGAAAGGCTGTTATACAAATGAGAAGCAGGTTCTGTTTTCAATCATCCCAGAGTGCAGGAGCTGCAGCAATGAGCTCAAGTTACAGGAAGCCAGATTTCAGTTGAATATCATGAAAAACTTCCTAACTGTTAGAGCAGTACAGCAGTGGAACCAATTAGTGGTGCCCCGCTTGACGACGACCCCGCTTGACAACAAAATCACTTGACGATGAGTTTTTTGAGATTGCTATAGCAATCACAACACAATGGTTCCTGTGGGGTTTTTTTCACTTTACGTCAATTAGATGCCTGCTCTGTGAACCGTTTGTTTGCAAAATGATGGTTTTGGCTTCCGTCCCTTCCCTAGCTGTTTTCTGTACAGAAGCTTCGGAAGACAGCGATTTTAAACTGCTGATCAGCAGTTCTCTATAGGCGATCTTCACTGGACGATGATGTATTTCCCCATTGGAACGCATTAACCGATTTTCAATGCAATCCAATGGAGGTTATTTTTCCGCTTGACGACGATTTGGCTTAACAGCGATTTTACTGGAACGATTATCGTCGTCAAGCGGGGCACCACTGTACCTTGAGAGGTGGTGAGTGCTCCAACACTGGAGGCATTCAGTAAAAATTTAGACAAACACCTGGCAGATATCCTGTGATTTGTATTCTTGCACTAAGCAGAGGATTTGACTTGATGGCCTTATTTATTTATTTATTTATTTATTTATTTATTTATTTATTTATTTATTTATTTATTTATTGCATTTATATGCCGCCCATCTAGACATAGTCTACTCTGAGCGGCTCACAACTTAGAAGATAAAAACAATTTAAAATATACAGTTTTACATTAAAAAACAAAATGATATAAAATATAAATTTGCGATTTGAACAGTTAATTTAAAGCAAAGAGTCCCAAGATGGCAAGAAGAAAAAAAGAAAAATAAGAATGACTTAATTGACTGAAGGGAAGGCCTGCTTGAATAGCCAAGTTTTCAGCTGGCTTTTGAAAATGCCCAGCGAGGGTGCCAGCCGAATTTCAGTGGGGAGGGTGTTCCACAGCCGAGGGGCCACCACCGAGAAGGCCCGATTTCTTGTTTTTTCCTTCCGGGCCTCCCTCGGCGTCAGACCCCTCAGCCGTCCCTGCTGGCTGTGTCGGGTGATTCAGGTAGATCTGGGTGGGAGAAGATGATCTGCCAGGTATTGAGGTCCCAAACCGTTTAGGGCTTTATATGTAATCATTAACTTTTATAAGCCCCTTCCAACTTCTGATTCTATGATTCTAGGTATTTTTGGTATCTGGTATTATCATTTACATAGAATGAGAACCCCCTTTTAAAATTTAATTTCACTGAACAAAGCATCTCAGATGTTTCATCCAACAATATTTAATTGAACAGTTTTACTATGTAGCATACACTATCCAAACTTTGTTGTTAACTAGAGTCATCCAATATAATTTCTATAGTTAATCTTTTGTTTAGTGCTTAGTGGTGTACTATATATTAGCAGAGGTTAAGGCAAATGTTGGGATATGGAAATTTCAATCTCACCTTTTCCCATTGTTTGCAAAGAAGACTACCATGCCTCAAGCTAATGGCCAGTTTAAATATTCATCCCCATTTTTCTTGTCATACTACCCTGTTTCCCCTAAACCTAACCTGAAAATAAACCCTAGTATGATTTTTCAGGATGCTTGTAATATAAGTCCTACTCCAAAAATAAGCCCTAGTTAAGTGAAACCCCGCCCTCCCCCATTGTACAGCAACCAGAAGATGACATGACTGCATTTGAATAAATGTAGATGGTTGTACATGACAAAAATAAAACATCCCCTGAAAATAAGCCCTAATGTGTTTTTTGGAGCAAAAATTAATATAAGACCCTGTCTTATTTTCGGGGAAACAAGGTATTTCTTAACTTCTACTGTGAGATATTTCATCGATAACAAGTACTCAACCTCTGATAAGTCTTCCTCATAGCTTTGTGCAGCTGCTTCATTGTTTAGGTGAATTTTTAATCCCTTTATTTTGGTTTTTTCTAGTGGTTCAACAGTGCAAGACACAAATTTTAAATTGGTTGCGTTAAGGAGGGGGGAGTCTGGTAAGAAAATTGCCTGGTGAAAATCAGTTCAGAATGGAAAACAAAAGTATGCTCAGAATTTTAATCTCTAATAACAGTTTTGGTTTCCAGCATGGGACCCAGGCATCTTCATTCGGATGCTAGAGAAATGACTGCTGTATGTGTGTGAAAATTGCTGAATGCCAATATATGCATATGAGTGTGTACGTATATACATAAAAGAGCGTATATTTATATATCCTTTATTGTTTAGTTCCTGTTTCTCACTCTTGAGTTTTTGGTGCTCTTCTTAACAGAGCGTAAAATATATAGTCATTAAACAATCAAGCAACTTTGACATCTATTATGCCTTCAGATGGAAGGCTGTCTGTTTTTCTCTGTGATGAATCACTTTCATCTGCCTCTTTGTTTTGTCTGCTTGCCACTAAGGAAATTTACCTGGATTCAGCACAAACGGGCAATGGTAGAAGCGAGGGGGGGAAATACAAAAAAAAAAGCTTTATGTATTTTTTTAGGAATATGCAGAAATGCTGAGGGGGGGGGAAGCCAATTGCTTGCACATAGAGCATTAACCTTCTTGGGGCTCCCCCTCCCTTCCCCTTGTTTTCTGATTTCCTTACTTACAGCAACCACTGGAAAGGAAAGACAGCCAAAACAGTTCTCAGCACAGCGTGTCCAGCCATCATAGCACACACACGGCTTCACCTGTCCATAGCACTCAGGTGCTTCCTGACTACCCTGCCACTGAAGCACCAGCTGTGGACCAACCAGACAACACTGGACAGAAGAAGCCAGATCCATTCAAAATCTGGGCCCAGTCCAGGAGCATGTATGAAAGCCGACGTGAGTATCAAATGAGCTGTTGTTATTCTGGTAGTACTATTGTGTTTTATTAATTATATTATGGTGCTTCTGGCACGTATGAATGAAATAAATAAATTCTGGTGACAGTTCTAACTACCAGCATTTTTTTTTAGCTATTGAAGCTGTTCTTTTAAGAGAATATTTTCTTGGACTGGACAAAAATCATGTACTATTTTTCTTAGTGTGATACATGAGTGGGTGAAACAAGATGTGGCTGGGAATGGTTGGGGTAAGGAAACACAATAGTGAGAAGCTATAGAGACCATTGGATTAATATATATTGAGATTTATCACTTCTTTTGGTGGTGAAGGAACTTTTGATTGCCTGCAACAAGTGAGTGTACAACATAATTAAATGAAACAACGGGCAAGTCATTTCAGTGTTAAAACCCTCCTCTCCCTGTTTAATTTCTTCTCTCTTCCACTGTCATAAATACATTTATAAATACGGAAATCTTACAGATGTTGAGATCAGGAATGTTGGCTGTCTTCCACTGCATGAGGCTTAACTGTTTAAAAACTGGATTTTGCTTTGAATCCTGAAAAGATATTAATTCAGAAATTATTTTAAATCTAGTGCATGGTACTGTTGTTTGAAAACCTCTAAGGCCATCAAGTATTTTCTTTGCCCATTCATGTATTCCTTTGTATTTCTCTGCTCCCATTAAAGGCTTACCATTTGCTTATTTGCTGGAGTTAAGTTTAAAATAGACATGGGGACGAATTGCCATTTTGGCGAGTTGTTGTGCTTCGTGATCCGTCAAAATTGACGAAGCAAGAAGCACAAATATCCTCCCCATGAACTGATGAAGCACAAATATATTCCTTGGTTCATGGGGGGGGAGGTTAGACAGCTGGAGGCTGTCAAAAAAAAAAGCTGACCCCTCCACCCCCACAGCCTGCCCCCCTTCCCACTACCCCTGTAACCTCCCTACCTTGGCTATGGCAGTCTGCAGCCACCATCCAGCACCACTTGCTGTGATGGCCTCCACTGCTATAGCTTGCCTCAAGGGAATCTTGGTTGCCCTTAGGCTGCCCTTTGCAAAGATGGTGGCTGCAGCTTCCCCTGCCTAAGAGAAGCTGCAGCCGTCATCTTTGCAAAGGGCAGCCTGGATTCCTTTAAGGCAGGCTAAGGGAATTCAGGCTGCCCTTTGCAAAGATGGTGGCTGGCGCTTCCCCTGCACTAAAAGAAGTTGCAGCCACCATCTTTGCAAAGGGCAGCCAATGTCCCTTACAGCAGGCCATTGCTGTGGAGGCCACCACAACGGGTGGTGATAGATGGCTGCAACAACAGACAGCAGTAGATGATGGTGGCGCTGCGTGGTGGTGGATGGAGGCAGTAAGGAGGGGAAGGGGATAAGTGGCTGTGGGGCTGGCTGCCTGCCTATGGACCCATAGGCAGAATGGGAAAGCCATTTGTATGGGGGACAAATAAAAACGGGGAAATATTTGTCCCTTCGTGTTCGTCAGGGTCTCTGGAACTGACGAATGTGAAGGGAGGAATATTTAACAAATCAGTGATTTGTCATGAATATTGCAATCTTTTTAAATTCGTCCCCATGTCTAGTTTAAAACCAAAGTTGCCCCCACCATTGAAGAAAGGATACAATGTGCTGAGTGCTAACACTCCATGCTGCTGTTCCTACAATGCACAGGCCAAATAGATACAGCAAGCAAGTTTTATTTCGGTTATTAATAGATGCACTTCAGTGATAAATCCGCAGGGTTTTGATTCTACTCCAGGAAAACAAAATGGTTTCCAATCAACTCAATTTCTAAAAGCAAAAACTGACATTCTTCTTCTCCTCCATTTCATTCTGCCAGAACTATAATTCTGTTTTCAGAGTCTTTGACATTCTGTAGAATGAAAAAAATGCTCTTGCTATTCACTATGTAGACCTTGGGCTTTGTGTGTGATTTGTAGTGAGTTAAATAGTCTTACAACAGGATCAGTATGCAGCATAGGTCATTGAAAAGAGGAGGAAATGGAGTCAGAATCTTTGGAACTGTAAATGTATTTCAGCAGCATCGCCTCTTGAGTTCTGCCAATTTTCTTCATGCCATTCATTTCTTTTTTCAGCTGCATGCCATGAAAAATTAATTCCCAGTCTTTTCTCTTATCCTCTTCTACTTTTATGACTGATTTCACAAGAGACATAGATGTCTACAGTTACTCCATACTGCCCTTTGTGCTCCCTGTTCAAATACTTGAATTTTTTTTTAACTCCTTAGAATCATTGTACCCATCATTTTCTACTGTAAAAGTTACTGCCAATGGAAGACAACATAGCTTTGAGCTTTTGAAATAATGTCCAAAGACTTCAGAGTCACAGACACAAGCTACAATGCTACCAAGGAAAGTTCAACTTGGTCTGACCTAGCTATAAAAGCACATTTACTGTCTGCCACATTGCTCCACATTGCTTGAAGCATTGATCTTCCTCTATACCTTTGCTTGTCTTTCTGCGTGCCTTGTCTTTTCAGTTTGTAAGCCAGATGACAGAGTCTACCCCTCATTTTGTTTAACTGATGTCAGTGGCTTTGGAAGGTGAAATTTCTCCACATAGTAGAATGGGAATAGGTTCTCTCTCTTTCTCTCACCGTTCTTTCCCCCACATAAGCATTCAGAAAGAGAGAGAAAGAGCATGACAGCCGGGAAATTCACATCACTGAAATGTTTAAATAGGGCTACATTTCACTATACATTATAGAAGGCAATTTAATGCACTGTTTAGGGTATCAACTGCACGTGTAATGTAATATATACTCTTTACAGTATGAAGACATTGCTATTACCACCCTGTTACTTCCACCACATTAGATTTTTGCCTTCTCTCTTCCCCAGTAGCGTGCCTGCATTGTCATTGTCTATGACCCCCACAGCTATTTAGTACCAGCTAAACAGTTAATTAGAAATTAGCTAATTAGTCATTAGGATTAGCTTAGCAGTAGTAACTGCCGCCTGTTCAGGTTTTTGTTTTGTTTTGTTTTTAATATTCTAGGGAAGGTGCTGCAACACAGATTCTGTTTAGCCTGCCAACTGCACCTATCCAGACAATGCAAGTTGTATACATCTTCAGTTAAGATTGTGGTCAAGGCATATTTTACCTTTATTAAGCTATTGAAGGAGATTTTGGGGACCTAGTGACTTATTTCAAAGGTTTTGCTAAATATCCTAACACTAATCTTTTCTCCTCATTGTACTGTTCATACCACTTCACACTTCATTGTGGGTCATTGTGTTTGGTTCAGCAAACATAACTTTGTGTTCTCACCTATTGTTCTGCAGAAATAATATTTGCTGATGTACGGGAATGGGGATGGTCTGTCAGATTGGAAGCATGATTGTTATTTCTCAATGTGAAAAGATACTCGGTTCAGAATACAGTGGTGCCTCGCAAGACGATGATAATTCGTTCCGCGAAAAACGTTGTCTTGTGAAAACATCATCTTGCGAAACGCGGTTCCCCATTGAAATGCATTGAAATCTAATTTAATGCGTTCCAATGGGAAAATAGTCATTTTGCGAAAATCGCCCATAGAAAACATTGTCTTGCAAAACGTGGTTCCCCATTGGAATGCATTGAAATCTACTTAATGTGTTCAATGGAGAAAAATCATTGTCGTGCAAAAATCGTCCATAGAAAACATTGTCTTGGAAAGCGCAGCAGAGATTGCAAAAACCATCCCGCGAGGCAATTGTCTTGCGAGGTACCACTGTATTCCTAAAAAGTGGGTGGAGGCAGCTTCCCTAAGCAGGTGCCATTGAAAGCAGCTAAAACTGGCTCCAGTCATAAAACCTTTCACTTTATAAGACATGTTCCTTACTTACTAGCTCACTGCAGTGTTATTTTTCCTTCAAGTAGTACTCTCCTTTCTTTTCACCACAATTCTGTAGGAGGCAAGACATCCTGCATTAGCAGTGTAGGGCCACTAGAATTCTATTCAGTGATGGGATGGTCAAGAAAGTAAGGTACCAATTAAGCAACATTGTTTTGTTATTTAAGGTTTGTTCCACACTGGCACTGTTCTGGAACTTAAAAGGGAGTTTTTTATATCAGCAATAGCAGAGTATCATAGAGGCCACCACTGAGCAGAAAGACTTCTTGTCAAATAATCCCTTATTATTTCTTATGTTACTTCTATAGAGGTTTTTCCATAATAGCTGCATATAGTACAGTCTTCACTTTTTGAATCTTGTTCTTATTCTTCACTAACCAATACTAGAAATATGTCCATTAACCCTTTTTTCCCTTATAGACAAAATTGTCGCAGAATGTATTAGATTAGGAAGTATTAAGGAATCTTTATTAGTTAAGTGTATACTTAAAACAGAAAGCATATTTTTACTCACCGTTGTTTTGACTACATTAGCTGAGAGTATCACTCTACAGAATTTGTTAGTATCTGTTAATTCAGATCTTGCCAGCTAGCTTCTCCAAGTCCTAAGCTCCATAGTCTAGTTCAAGCCTCAGTTGTGCCCAGTTTAATTAATAAATATTAATCCATAGAATCATTAAAGAATTGAGTTGGAGGGGGCCTGTAAGGCCATTGAGTCCAACCCCCTGCTAAATACAGGAATGCAAATCAAAGTAGATAGGACAGATGGTTGTCCAATTTTCCCTTGAATGGCTTGAAAATGATGTTTTAAAATATTTTGGACATACACTAGGTTAAAGGAATAATAGGGAAATTGTCAACAAAGAAAGCATCAGACGTGAATACAGTGCCTCAATTTATTACCATAATCTGTTCCAGAAGATGGCCGTAACTCGAAATTGTCATAAGTCGAAGCACCATTTCCCATAGGAATGCATTGAAGTGCAATTAATCTGTTCCAGCTGAAGAAAAAAATGCAAAAAATCACTGCAAGACCCATTGGAAACATGATTGATCCCTTCCGGCTGAAGGGGGGGAAGCGATCAAGCATGCAAGACCCATTGGAAATGCACAGAAAACAAAGGGACCAGGGCCGAAAT